AAAACACACTTATGAGCGAATTGTGCCCACAGCTAAAGTTTAGCTGCTAAACCTTGAACACTTAAAACAATAATGGTGGATACGTTAGCCGAGTGCTAATGTGACTAACTGACGAAACAATACAGTTTGTAAACCAAAATATGTCTACTGTAATGTTTGAAGAACGCCAGACAAAAGACGCTCTGTGTCTTAACTTTTAATCAGAACGCAGAACAGCTGTATCACAGGCGCACCAGCCAAACTAACTCGCTCGTCTCTCCCGCATTAACCCTATAACTGCCGGTGCAGCAAAATAAACATCAATTTCACAACGATTATAAAGTCTGTGCGCTACACTACATTATTTATTATTAAATGAAGTAATCTGAACAACGTCAGTCTACATTAATCGACACATTCTTAGGAAATAGTGGGTTCACAGCGAATTATCAGAACTACTTCAGTAAGACAGTAATATCGTGCTTTACCTGGAAACCTAAAGCTGCACTAGGTATACATCACATATTAGCACAAAAACTTGATATTTTGAGCACTCAATTGAAAATGTACACATAACGTATCAATCGTACTTGCAGGTTGTGCTTCGGAGAGCTTGTTAGTCCAAATTAAGAAGATTAGAAGCTAACGAAGATAAAAGCCAATATTCGAGAAGCAGTCCTCGGTAAAATGACATGCACACAACAAAAGGTTCGAATTGTATTTCTGTGGTATCCTTGAACACAGCGTCTTCTCAACATGATGTAAACACACTAAGGCAAAAGATTCGAAAATATGACGACTCGTTAAGGCGATTCAGAATCGACTCTCTCTTTTGAGAGACAATATCTTTATTTATCATGCACTTTTTTGATTAACAACTTTGCAGATTGTTTTCATTTAAGGATAGCTACGTTATAAACTGCAAAAGAGATATTTTTCAAAAACCCATGTGACCTGCTCTTTAATGAAAGAATGGAGCTGGAGCAATGTGACGTAATTGAAAGAATGCTGATTTGGTGACAGAGTTACAATGAGCCTGAAAGGAGAGAGATGAATCGAAAATAACACCACAATAGAAAGTTTAAAAAAAAGCAGCATTTATTTGAAACAGAAACATGTAACAGTATAAATGTCTTTACTGTCTCATTTCATCAATTAAATGCATCCTTGCTGATTACAGGTAATCTATAAATAAATAAATGCATTCATTCATTCATTACTGACCCCAAAAGTTTTGAATGGAATGCAGCTTTTACTCTTCTCTATGGTCTATTACTGGGTTTATTAATATGAGTTGGCGAGCTAAGTGTGTTTCTGTTTGTTTTAATGAGAGAACTGTTATGAACATGTGCTTGTGCGTGAGTGAGAGGAAAACATGACACTTGAATTCATGTTTTCTGTGTGTGTTCAGAGGCGCACACAGTTACAGGAGCAGATGAGTTTCCGCTATAAGGAAAGACTGAAGTGTCAAACTCTCCCCATCAAACAGGAGCAGGTACACAGCTGTAGAAAAGCCCTGCTTATACTTCTACAATATAGTGTCTCCTTTGTCCTTCCTTGTGTAGTATACAAGAAGATAGTCCCACGAGGTGATCATTTAGTCCCCTGTGTACTTGTCTGTTGTTGTTAGTTTCCTGTTTGACGTGCTCATGCATTGGAGACCTAGAGGCATATCTTTCCACACTGTGCTTCGGTGCTCTTTGTTTGCGTTTCCAGTTTGATTGAGATGAATGAGCCGAACGCTTTGCTTATTGTTCTCAGATTGTAGAGGTTCAGATGTGGTTTTGATAGCTTTGTTAGACATTCCTTGTGCATGGGAGGTCTGTGTGTGTGTGTGTTAAGTGTCACTAAAATCACTGGGTTTTGATTATCAGCTGTGTTCTGCTTCTAATGGGACACTGTTTGTTCTCTAACACAACGCGCCTATCTGTCATCACTACAGTTGTGTTTGTATGTAGTAGGTGATTGGATGTTTGGATGGTATTATCAGGTTTTTTAATCTGAGGAGTGTGTGTGAGGTTTTTGTATTTGTGTAATTTTATGTGAACTGGTTTCTCCTCTCTTGTCTCTCTGAAGGCCAGCAGCGGGACTGAGGTCTTGAGGAGCTGCCCTAAGAAAACCATTCTCCTTTCTTCTTCCTCACCCTCATCTTCCTCATTCTCTTCATCGTTTCTTCCACATGCACAGGTGACACTCTCCTGTCTTCCTGTACTAACCTCAGCATCTCTCACAGGGGCTGGTTATAACAGAACGTCTCCTCTTGCAGTCTCTTGAGATGAGGTTTTTGTAGGTTTTTAGACTTTATGGCGCAGAGCTGTTTGTCTTGATCAATGTATTGATCAATCCTCCTGGCATATTCATGGCAACGTCCATGTAAATCAGCAATAAAAAAATATTTTTTTTTATACTTCAATGGTTTGAACTCTGCAAACAATTGTATAAAAACCACATAGAAAACAATAATGATAAACTATTGTTAAATATTGGTAAGCTTCAAATACCTTTACAAGTACATGTAAAGAAAAAAAAAAGAAAAGACTATTTTGACTTCATATATTCATTCAGAATTTTTTTTATAACTTCATGCTCCAGGCATGTTTCTGGCTCACATCAGTCTCAAAAATAAAATAAAACAAATATGCTGATTTTGTGCTGATTTATCAATATTTTTGTGTAAACCATGATACATTTTTTATTTCAGAATCTTTAGATGAAAAGTTCAAAAGAAGATTTTAAATGGAAATCTTTAAGACATTATAAATGTCTTTAGTGTCATTTTCAATCTTTGATCAATTTAATGAGTTATTAAATGTAGTTTATCTAGATGTTTTCAGACATTTTTTTTCTTTGTTTTAATATTTTTAGCTGCGGTTAAACACATTTATCATTCAGTCAGGCTTGTCAGTTTTGGAAGTATGTGGTTTTGCACATTCCTACACATGACCAATTTACCCAAACCTGAAATGGAATATTTCGTGCAGTTCTGGAAACCAACAAATTTTATTTTATAGTGTTTGATAAAGTTGAAATTGTATTTTGGTTAGCATCATTTTAATGAAAATACTGGAATGGGCCACCATGCTTTTGTTGCATTTTTGTTTCAGAAATATGGGGCTGTTACCCTTCTAGTTTTGATTGTTAGTTTAGTCTGAGATCTTCTAACTAATGATAGGGTGGAACTGATTTATGTCTGTTCTCTACAGCATAATGTTAACCAGTCAGAGATAAACAAGTGTAATGGTGGTGGTGATGAAGAGAGTGAGATCCAGGACCCTTCAATCTATTACAGGGTAACCATGACAACTGCATGGGGCTTTTCTTAAAACTTTGCCAGAAAATCTTTTGAAGATTTGTAACTTCCATTTCATCTTCGTGAACATGCATGCATTTGTGTTTGGAGAACTACAGTTAACTTCACTAAATTTGTGGAATAAACATGTTATATTTTAACCATGTGTAATTTCAATATATTTATTAGCTTTCAGAATTAAAACTACAAAAACTTGCAGCACAAATGCGTAAGTGCTGCAGCAGTGACGTCAAAACCCAGAAGACTAATTCACCATGGATTCCCTCGAGTTTTTCCTATGGGATTTTATATTGGGAGTTTTTTAAGTTATGTGTAAAACAAGGTCTGTGGTAAATATAAATTGATGATACTTGGACTTTTGCTCTACAACGTAAATGTGTACAGTTTACATTGTACAACATGTCCAAGTAAAAGTTATTTTTTTACCACAGACCATATTTTACTCATGAATTGAAAAACCCCATAGGAAAATTTCAAGGGGACCCGTGACGAATTAGTCGTCACAGCTGCAACACTCTACAATACGACATCCAGAGGAGATTTCTAACTCAAGTAATAGTATCATCAGCCTTTCCGTTTACAGGAAGATAACCTGCCTAATGTGGACAAGCCAGAGCCCATACATATCCCTAGCATTCAAGAGCGAGTGGACACTCTAGTCGCTAGGTTTAAAGGCAAGCCTGACAGGAAGGACAAGCCACAGGTAGAGCAATTCAAGAGAAAACAGCATGCTCTTAAAGGGATAGTACACCCAAAAATGAAAATTCTGTTATCATTTACTCACCCTCAAGTTAATCCCAACCTGTATGACTTTTTGTCTTGTTGAACACAAAATAAGATATTTTGGTAACTAAACAGTTGCTGGTGGAGTAAATTACAGTTTTTTTTATTTTTGGGTGAACTATCTCTTTAACTAACAGATGATGGACAATATCAGACAGCTTGGTCAAGACCAGGTTAAAGACAATAATGACACCAAGTCTTGAGTCGTGGCCTTGACTTGTCTTGAACATTTGCGCTCTTCCTTTTTCCAGACATATCAAAATAATCGTTATATTTTTTTGTCCTCACATCTTGCTTTGTGAAGGTTATGAAAAAGCCATCACGGTTCTTTATTGAGCAGTGGCTTTTGACCCACAGCCTCAGTCCTGAGCAACCCTTCTACCCTTCTGACCCCCAGCATCAGGTAGCCTTGCCTGAGCATGGAGAGATATGCATGGACGTCTCGTCTGTACCTTAAACACACAGTTCCTCTAACCAATGATGGTTTGAATGCTTTATACGTAACTCTACACAACTAAAAAGGTTTTTCCTAATGGATTTTATTCACAGTATTGCAGAAAACGGTGATATTCCTTGTGCTAACACCATGACTTAAGACTGCATCTCTCTCACAGCAGAGGGAGGTTTTGCATTCTGATGATCACGTGCCTTTACACATCCCCAGCATTCAGGAGAGAACCGAGAGGTTAGCCTCTCAGTTTAAAGACAAACCAGCAAAGCCAAAGGTGAACTCTCAGCACTGGCTGTCCTTGAATACACACTTTTTTCCATGCACAGCCTTAAACCGTTGATTAATTTTAGCAGTTAAGCAGTCTTTTGGCCTTATAAAACAGATTTTGCAAAGATGGAGTGGAAATAGTTTTCAAGGAATATTCTGGCTTAAATAAAGCTCCTATTCATGTTGTGTTCACAGGTAAAACACTCCTTAAGTGTGGTAAAATCACTGTAACATGGCCTCTTGTGGCTTATTGCTTTTATAAATAATCAATCATTTTGGCAGCAGCAATATACACCACCTTTCAAAAGTTTAGGGTTGGTACTTTTTATGTTTTTGAAAGAAGTCTATTGTGCGCACTAAGGCTACATTTGTTTTTTTCCCCCATCAAAATACAGTATAACAGTAATATTGTGAAATATCATTCCAAATTTTCTATTTGAATATATTTTAAAATGTAATTTATTCCTGTGATGGCAAAGCTGAATTTTCAGCATCATTACTCCAGTCTTCAGTGTCACATGATCCTTTAGAAATCATTCTAATATGCTGATTTTCTGCTCAAGAAATTGTAATTATTATCAGTGTTGAAGTGTGTAAATTGTACACTTGCTGTTGACTTCTAGTTTTCTTTCTGCCTGCCTACCTGCTGTTCCCGTCGTCTTTCATTTACATCCCTCATCTCTCTCTATGTCTCTCTTTCTGTCTTTACGTCTTTCAAAGTCTAAGAAAAAGGCGCCAGACTTCTTCACAGAGCAGTGGTACAGAGCGCGTGATGCCAGCTCTGTTAGCCCTCTGCACTCTCCCAGCTCTTTCCGGCAGGTAGCAGTGATGCATCTAATGACTGCTGTGTTCTTGAGTCGTGTGTGTGCATGGATGTGTTTTCAAACACACTCTGTTAATAGGTTCTGTGAACCTTTTTTTTCTGAGGTGTCTCTCTCCAGGCTTACATGTGTGTCACCAGATGTATGTATGTGAAGCTGAGAATGTTGAAATACAACAAAAATTGACTAGTACTGTATGTTGCCAAACATTTTAACACAGCTGTAAGCTGGATGTGACCTATATTCATGAGCTGCATAAAGGAAACTAATCTGCATGTTCATGCAACATTGAAATTTCTAATTGAATTTGAATTTAACATGCTTCAAACGTGATTGTTAAAGCCCAGGGTGAGTTTTTCAGGAGGTGCTGATAAATAGGTTTGTATCTTCAAGTATGTTTAAAAGTGTAATTTTATGTTGAAGGTTTTTATTTTAATTAACAGTTTTCCTTGGTACAACTTGACTGCTTCGTTTTGAATTGCTTTGAATTGCTGAATTACACCTTGTGCCTTCTCTCGTCTACACAAATAACCATGCAAGAAAATCTGCATTTAACTTTTTTTATTTTTAATTCTTCACGACCCTGAAACACTTATACTACCATTCAAAATTTGGAGTTTAGTAAGATATATGTATTTTATGTTTTGAAAGAAGTCCCTTATACTCTCCAAGGCTGCTGTTATTTGGCCAAAATCATGATATAGTAATATTGTGAAATATTATTACAATTTAAAATAACAATAATAAAAAATTATAATATTTAAATAGAATAATTTCTGTTAAATATATATTTTAACTTTTAATTAATTTTTCAGTGATGGCAAAGCTGAATTTTCAGCAGCCAATTCTCCAGTTTTCAGTGTCATATGATCCTTCAGAAATCGTTCTAATGTGCTGATTTGGTGCTTTAGAAACATTTCTTATTATCAATGTTGAAAAATGGTTGTAATGCTTAATATTTTTGTGTAAACCATAATGGATTTTTTTCAGGATCTTTTAATGAATAGAAAGTTCACATAACAATTTATATTTGAAATATACGTCTTTTGTAGCATGTCTTCACTGTCACTTCTGATCAGTTTAATGCATCCTTGCTAAATAAAAGTTTTTTTTTTTTTTTTTATAAATGAATCTTACTGACCCCAAACTTCTGAAAGTTAGTGTATGTTTGCGTCTTAAAGTATGGCATGATATAAAATTGTAATTTTAGACTGAAAGTTTTATTCGAATTAACAGTTTTCCATGTTACCCATTTCTCACAACTTGCCTGCCTCGTTACGTTTTAGCACTTTGAATTGCTTCGAGCTGAATTACACCTTGTGCCTTCTATCATCTACACAAATAACCATGCAAGAACATCTGAATTGAACTTTTATTTATTTTAATTTTTCATAGTCTTGAAAATTGCCACAGGATCCCACTCAGTTTTCAACCATTTCTGCTTTTAAAAAACTTTTTTGTTCTGTTCACCACCTGTAGCACTATGTAAAGGTGTACACAGGGGGTGTGAGCTCACTGGCTGAGCAAATAGCCAATCAGCTTCAGGCTAAGGACGACCCCAGGCCCTTGCTTGAGAAAAGGGATTTGGTAAGAATTATGAGTGTTGTGGTATTGGCGTACGCAAATGAGACTGCATAGCTCATTTTTGCTTTGGTACATGGCTAACTTGTAGTATTGAGTATAACTCTCTGTGATCACAATGCATATGCCATGATTCAGTGCACTGATAACTGGATCAAGACACAGCAGCAACAACAACTGGACAAGAATACCACCTCTACGAGATTCAATATAAGGCTAAAAAGTTGGTCTGTTTCAGCTTTAAAACCATGTACTCTTATACTGCAATAGTTTTTGTTCCAAACGAAAGGATGTGAGAAAGGTTCACTGTGTCGATGCTAAGCTACAGATGAAACTGTGAACTGGATTTTTTTTTCTCGTCTGTAAAATACTATAGTATGTTATCGTTATTTGTTGTTTATTTATTTAGAATTGTTTTAGAATTGGTAAATTATTTTTTTTATAATTTCTAAAATGTTTCTAAATATTTTATTTTTATAATTTCTAAATTTACATAATTTATAGAATTTTTTAATTATTTAATTTTTAAGGATGTAGTGTCAATATAAGTACACTCAGTTGTGTTGATTTACACAGATTTGATTGGTTTTATTTTAGTGTCTTTGGTAACTATTGACTAACAATCAAAACTATAGACTTTACACAAGAGCTGGATATTCAGCTCCTCGAAGCACAGAAGTTCGTAAATTACTTTGGTGCATGCTGTCTTTCTTGACAGATTTCTAAGCGTTTAAGGTGCCACTCCTTGCTCTCATTTAAAAAAAAAGACCTGAACTAGCATGACTCGCTTCTATGTCTTTCTCTCTGCAGGGTTCCTTGCGGAAGGAGTTCCCTCAGAATATTGGAGGCAGTGATGTGTGTTTTTTCTGTCGGAAGCGTGTCTACGTGATGGAGCGTCTCAGCGCAGAGGGAAAGTTTTTCCATCGCAGCTGCTTCAAGTGCGACTACTGCGGCACCACCCTCCGCCTGTCCTCCTACGCCTTCGATGTTGAGGACGGTATGAAATCCATGTAGAATTATAATCCCTCCTGATTATATTATTCATACTGTAGCTACTTATAAGTTACCTTTATTTTTTTCTACGTGTTTTTTTTTTGTTTATTAACTTAGCTATTTTTAGTCTCTTTAATTTCCTGCTTGCTCATAGTTTTCTGTCATGAGATGTGCTTTGTTACCAACACAGTGGGATATTGTTGTTTGAGACAGAGGGACCATTTCTCTTCATCATCAACCATTCTTTATTAACTATGAGCTGTTCTGTAACCTCCCACATGGCGTAGTTACAGATGTGCATGTTAGGCGGAAATCAACCACATTTGTTGCATTTCGCATTTGATAAATCACCTCATTTGGGTTTTCTCCGATTTATGTCTGGAAACCGATGCTAATGGAGTACATTTGTGTGTGTTTTCGCTCTTGTAGGGAAGTTTTACTGTAAACCACACTACTGCTACCGACTTTCTGGTCTGGCACAGAGAAAGCGGCCTGCGCCTGCTGCTCCCGCTCCAGTAAATGCAAAGGTTCGGACTTCTTTAGTCTCTGAGTTTGGGGAAAAATCTGTTTTTATCAGAGAGTTTTTCTTCTGACACTATTCCCAGGCTGTACAGTCTATTTTATCATTTTTTTTATGATGTAATAACAAAAAAAGGCTAATATATTCAGATATTTTTTGTTGTGGTCCTAGGAGCCCCAGGTGTTGGCGGTAACCCCCAACACAGTGGATGCCCCAGGCCAAGCCATAACTTCTCAGGCCCCTGTGGAATGCCGGCCCTCAGGTACCCGCCTTTCCTCTTTAGGCCCCGTTCTGTGCCTCTCTCGGGGAGTAGGGGGCACCCTGCGCTCGTTGCGGCGAGCAATGTCTTGGACCCGCCACCAGGTGGCGCACAATCCCTTAGATTCTCCTTTCCTCTTTGCATACTGCGTTTATCTGCTCTCCTGCTTTACTCTCAACATCCTGCTCAATATTCTCTAGCATGACCCCCTTCCAGCCTCTGAGCTAATCGGGGCACTTCCTGCTCGCACATGCTGTGATATAGAGTGATATTGTGCTTATTTTGTGTATCCCTGATGATGTCACAAATGATTAACTCATTGTAAATCAGTTGGACGTATAGAATATGTATATTATTCTGAGTGGTGCAGCCTAATTAAATTTCTTCTTTTGATTGAGTAAAACATCCAGGCAAAAAGGCATATCAATTAAGTGTTAACTACTGTTAATTAATTAAATACATAATGTAGAGCTTTTAAAATGTTTGAAGTGGCTTAGACATATCTTAAGGTATATCAATATAACATATTAAGTGTAATAATAATTAACCTTTTTTTTGCCTGCATGTGTTATGAATATTCTTTATTTATTGCCTGTTTTTGTTACTCTCCTTTCTGTCCTTCCACTGTATATATATATGTGATTAGTGCCTTTAAGTTTGTGATTTGTAATTTCTGATCTGTGCACCTTTTGAAACGTAGTGCTCGTATCAGTGCTTGTGATTGGTGGACTCTGTAAGCTTTACCTTTCCCCTCTCCTATCAGAGCAGCTTGTTGCTGAGCTAGTGTCTGCATCTGTGCCTGTGATTGGTCTACACTCCCATCAGTCCTTGCATCTCTGTCCCAGTGTTTGTTCACCTCTTAATTCTCCGCTGCATAGTACTAACACCACTGCTTGTGGCGTCCTTCATGTGTGTATCACTGAGAATGATTTACAATACAAAACTTCCGGTGAGTTCGTGCTACTAGGGTGAAAAATATAAAGTGTAAATGGTTATAATGTATTACCATTTACATTCATATATTAATCATAGAATTAGTCATAGAAGTTTTAAAGGTTTGAATCTCATAAATAATTTTTTTAGTTACATTTCACCTAAAAATAAGAAAATAGAAATGATGTTTTGCGTAAAGAAAATAAAGTTTATTTTCAGGACTAGGTTAAGATGTTTTGCATTGTGACATTATTTTCTTTTGTTCATTTAATGCAAACAAATATAATTTGTATTACTGTTATGTCTAAGAAAATAAGAAAATGGCATCATTATTATTGTATCATCTGGCCTGTTTATTTATATTTTTTATCGCAGTGCTAAAAGTTATATATAGTTAAGGTTTACAGTAGACTTAGACTTTATATAATTGGCCTAAAAACAGACTTCAATTTCTTCATGCAAAATATAATTTCTTTCATACTTTTAGATTGTGGGGTAAATATGGCTGAAAAATAAAAAAATATGAAAGGTCTACCCTAGTACAATGTGTGAGAATAAGAATATTATATTATTTATTTCCTTTATTTTTAGTATTCCTTTAGCTTTTGGGTGAGAAGATCAGATTAGTCTGAAATCATGCATCAAGTGAACACGACACACTATTTTATTCATGGGGTCTGTCACTATATAATCACTATATGAGGCATATTCGTTATTCAGTGAGCTCTGAATACATCGGTTATAATTCGGTTACGGGTGACGAGTTTTTTCAATCGATTCTTTTTTTATGGATTGCATGCTTCATTCCTCTAACCATTTCCACCATCACAGTCATGTTTTTATTGTTTAATTACATGCACAAAATGCTCTCACTGGCTTGATTTGGGGTTTGGGATTTGCTTCACTGAATAGACGTATTAGTCATACACATGTCCACCGGTTCATTAATGTTAAAAAAGTTAATTAATATTAAAACTAAATTCTTTATCTGATATGCTTTAATAGGAAGGGAAAAAGGCAAGGTAACCATAATTTGTATTTATTATTGAAGGATATATTATTTAAGAGTATTTTACTGACAACAGGGTATTTAAATCTTTTTTAATCTAGAATATATGTGTAGTCATGAAGGCCAAATATTGCTTGTGTAAATAAAGTTAAAGAGTTATCACTTTGACTGTGTTTGTCTTATTTGTCTGAGTGGAAATGAATCCATATGCAATCATTTGTTTCCTTCAAAAACAGCCTTAAAAGAAGGTAGGGTGGGTGGACTGTAGATATGAATTATATGAAATATTTATTATATAATAAACTTAGTCTTTATACATCTCTGTATTGACACCTAATGCTTTTAGCTTTAACTAAATCAAGAATTTATGAATTATATTATGCAAAAATTATGCTAATTGCTACCATGGCACCCCTGCATAACACCTGTGAGCCACTTTCTATCTGTTACATATGATCTATTTACATGTATGACATTTTCTCTTTTCTCCTCCTTTTCTGTCCATCACAGTGACAGAGGTGAACGGAGTGACAGAGCCCAGCGTGGCCAAACGTCTTAAAGGGACTCCTGAAAGGATCGAGCTGGAGAACTACCGTCTCTCTATGATGAAAGAGGAGGAGCTGCAGGAGGTGCCCGAGGAGACGCTGGCCGAGCACAACCTCAGCAGTGTGCTGGACAAAGCCACTGACATTGAGGAGGGATCCAGGTATCTCTCTCATCTTTATATCATGTTGGTTATGCTGTTCTAGGGTGTTGCTATGCAGTTTCTATCATGCGAGCTCCACTAATTAATTATCAGTCATTTTCAGCCATTACATAATATAATGAAATCTGTGCTTGTTCATTAGTATTACTTAGTAGTACTTTACTAATATAGTTATTCTGTAATTAAAATGTGTGACAAAAGTGTTTGCATTTTCCACGCTCTTTTGTTCCCATTTCACATGATAGAAATGAGATAGGAAATATTTTTTTTATTGCAGAAGCCAAAATTTATTTAAATTTGTCATATGGTCATTTTGTTCAAGAAAAGTGACTTGAAGTAACAAGGACTGGCGTACTAGACTATTTTGAAGCTCATAATTTGAGGACACAGTGTTGCCATTACTTTTTACCTTTGTTGATTTTCAAATGTTCTGGCTTGGAATCAAAACTTTTAAAAATGCAGGCAAGTGTCCTAAAGTGAACATGAAATCAAAATAATTTCTTAATACTCATTTCTGGTCTTATTTAACAAACTTCTTATACAACACCTGTCATTCCATTCAGGTGTTTTTAAATTTTAGTAAGATTTCTTTTTCTGTTTTTTTTTTTTTTTTTTTTTTACGCAATTAATTGTTTTATTTAGCAAGGATGCAGTAAATTGATCAAATGTGACCATAAAAACATTTACATTAAAAAAAATAAAAAATAATAATAATAATGTCTTAACTTTCTATTCATTACAGAACCTCAAAAATATTTCCGCAAAAATATTAAGCAGCACTACTGTTGTCAATATTGATAATAAGAAATGTTTCTTGAGCACTAACTCAGCATTAGAATGATTTCTGAAGGAGCATGTGACACTGAAGACGGGAGTAATGACAGCAGAAAATTCAGCTTTCTATTAAAATTTTAAATGACACTTTTCTATTTTAATAGTATTTCACAATATTATGGTCTTTCTGTGTTTTTAATACAATAAATCCAGCCTTGGTGAGATTAAGAGACAAGAGACTTCTTTCAAAACCACTTAAAAATCATACCGACCCCAAACTTTTGAACTGTAGTGTTGATAACTTGCTTTGAGTGTTTATTTGGGACTAAAAAGAGCAACCAGGGGTCATTTGGTGATTTTTACACACTTATCCATCCCTGCAGCAGCTCAGAGTCTGATATGGAGGAAGAGGATGAAGAACCGGAAGCAGCCGGCCCGTCCGATCTGGGTGGGGTTCCCTGGAAAGAGGCTGTGGAGCTCCACGCTAAACTAAAAGGAGAAAGCGACCCTGGCGCAGCAGAAGACGACGATGGCCTTCATGATGGAGATGGAGAGATGGACGAGGATGAAGAGGAGGAAGATGAAGACGACGAGGAGGAGGAGGAGGAAGAAGAGGAATCGAGTGATGGTAAGCATCGGCTCAGTGCTGGTGGCTTCATTCTGCTTGTAAGGGTGATCAAAGTGTCTCGACACAATGAATAATGGATGTAGATGGATGTCCTGGACAGAATGGCCTGTTTGATGGTGGTTCATTTGATTTTAGAAGGCAAACTTGAAGTAGATTATATTCTTTTTCTTTTTAGAAGATCATTTTAAAGGAATAGAAAGACTGTAATGTGTTTGCTCTGCAGAGTCTCATTTCCTCTGTCCACTTCATATCATCTTTATGTATGTGGTGTCTAGCTCCCCTGATTAGATATTATACGTTCACCAGGGTTGTCTGCTGTCTCATATTCACAGAGAACTTCTGAAATTACATTTTCTCTTTGAGTAATATCATTTCTGATGAAAAATGTAAGACAAAAGATTTCCCAAGAGATTGCTCTAACCCCAGAGCTTCAGCCCCTGCCCTGATATATATTTTTTTTACACTGATATGTCTCATCAGTGAGACGCTGAATCATTCAGCGATTCTAAACTTATTTATACTAATGTGCTACTGTTACTCGCCTTTTCAACCTTCTGCATTTTCAGATGTTTGTGGCATCTCTGGCAAATCAACTAGTTTTCCTTTTCCAACCCTGTCTTGTATTTTTCCTTTATAAAAAAGAACATTTTATAACTTTCTTTGACACAAAACTGTTTTACAGGGTGAAATCTAACAAATAGCTAAGGAAAAAATTTGTGAAGAACCTTTGACATTTTGAATTTTTTTAATTATGGAACACCTGTCACCCAATCAGAATCAAGGACTGTACAGTGCCATGGTGTAATATTTTTTAGACAACAATATATAGTACTTTTTGGTACTTGTATTATACTGTTATATTAAATCATTCCAAAGATTTGCCATTTTTTGTCAGTTCGTTTTTTTAATTCGATAAAATAAATAAATATTCACCTAAATAATTAAATGACCCAAATTATTCAATCAGTATACTGCCAAAATCCAAAAGTCTATACTGTAGCTGATACTACTGTTGAAGTCCTCAGTACGTTGGTCTCTGAATGTTATTGGAGGTTTCTTGTTCTGTGGGTCATCCTGTACTGTGACGATTTTCCATCACTGTGTGTATGTGTGTGTGCTGGGGTAATTGTATGGGATGACAGCGGGAGAGTATTTCCCCTGGGACAGGGAGCTTCAGTCAGGTCTTTGGTTGAAAAATCTCGCAAATGAAGAGGATACGGGTGTATTTAAAGGTAGTGATGCCTGTGGATGCATTTGGCTTTAGCACACGCCGATACCTCATAACTTCATCAGTAACTGAAGAGTTATTGAGCTAACACAATTTGCCTTTTCTCCTGCTTTCCTCCTCTTTTTTTATTAGCTATTGATTTGTTTTAATTTAACAAGGCTATGCAGCTTTTACCATGAACATAATTGTTAATTGCTCTCTTTTTTTCTGCAATGTTGTTTGTGGTTAAAATGGCATGCATTCACACCACCGTGGTGTTTTGAATGAGATTTTTCAGGGTGTTTTCACACTTGCTTTGATTGTTTGGTCTTAAACTGAGCTTATGTCATTAACATAAGTATCACTGTTAATATTAGCGGCATCTGTTTATCGCTATATCTAGGTAACAGGAAGAGAAGACGCCAGCTTCTTTGTTTTATTAATGCTTTTATTGTTGTTTTACCAAACCTCAAAGGGGATAGTACACCCAAAAATAAAACTGCATCATCATTTACTCACGCCCATGTTGTTCCAAACCTGTATGACTGACTTCTGTGGAACGTAAAGATATTTTGAAGAATGTTGGTAACCAAACCATTTTGGTTACCATTGACTTATGTTATATGGACAAAACACAGACATTTCTCATTTTTCTTTTTTGTTTCATGGAATAAAGCTATACAAGTCATACAGGTTTGGAATGACATGAGGGTGAGTAAATGATGACAGAAGTTTCATTTTTCGGTTAGCAGTTCACTAATTCGGCCTGACTGTGATCCATACATGAACCGTAACCCAGACTACAGTTTCAAGCTGACTCGGACACAGTTTGCGATTTCACGCCAGCTAAATTAACTGAATGCTGACATCAAGTGTACTCAAATTCACACCAAAAGTTCAAGTGTGAAAGCACCCACAGAGTTGATTGTTGCTTTTTAAAAGTTGCTGTCATATTTGAAGGAGCCTTTTCTAAAGCATGCTACTTTTCTAAAGTATATACTAATTTGGCACTATTCTAAACTATAATGTTTTCCTCTCTTTTTGTCTTCTTCAATGTGTCTGTCTCACCATTTATGGCTGCTGAATCTCACTCTCTGCTCACATTGCTGCCTATGGGGACTTTTTGTGACCTGGACCTTTTTACTTTTTTAAACAAATTGGATTTTCTGTTCTTGACGTGCTAATGGACTCGCCAATTAATCCTACAAAATGATTGGGTCACCTTAATGGCTACACGTAATGCCACCATGCAGCTAGGAACCTGCAAATCCAGCAAGCCATACATCCAGTAGACCCTCTGGACATCCAGATGGACAACCACTGGACATCTAAACAAGCTGAAGGGCTGGTTGAGGGCCCCTTGCTGTCACCCTTAGGCTCTCAGCCCTCACTGAACAACACCCAGCTCACACAGCCCACCTCCTCCACAGGTAACCCCATGTGGAGGAGTCATGCCTGGGCCCTGTGGCTTTTAGGGGGTAGTAGATGGTGCCGTTTACACCTGGTATTAACATGCATCTCATATGTTTTTCTGTGTAATTGGATTTTGGGAGTAAAATATGTTTTTAAAGTTTGTAATCAGTTGATATCATATGCTTAATATGCATGCTCTTCTCCTCTATTTAGATTACCTTTGCCATCATCTGCTGTAGCACTTAAAGTTAATCTTTAAAAACACTAAGTTAATAACACATTTATTTTTCATATTGTACATTATAATTTCATAATGCCTAAATTCCAAAATGGTACAGAATTTCAAATTTGGCATGAAAATAATTATCAGAATCGGACAGAATTTAATAGTAGTGAATTCCTCCTAGTATTTTTCGCTGTTCACTTTTAGCTGGATCACTCTAGATGAATGTTGCCAGGTGTAAAGGAGCTTGTTGTGTGTGTGATTTGCATGTGTGATCGCTTTTTGATGTGAATTTCTCAGGTTTCATCTACAGTAGTGTTTTGCTCGCTTATCATACTTTCTGCAGTCTTTCATCTTGCTTTAATACTTTTTCTATATCACACTTTGTCATCGTTGTGACATTATTTATTTTGACCTGTTACGGGTTGAGTTATTTGTTCTCCTATATTTTGTGTGTACTTATGTCTCACTTTATCAACATTCTGGATATTGGGGCATTGCTCACTAAGTATATGCCCCTTTTTCTGTTGATCTCTTTGATTTATTCATGAATGTATGTGTATTTATGTTTTGCTGTGTCTGTGCATTTCATGTACCTGTTCCCATTCTCATTTTCCATTGGTTTAATTGTAGCCCCCTCCCACAAATCCATGCGTCATGAGGCTGTCAGAGCCTGGTTGGACTCGATGTCTGGAGGTAGAGAAGAAAAACAAGTCCAGCAACTTATATTAGTGCTAATACATACACACACATCAGCGCATGGCAATACTATTGAACACTTAACACCACTGCAATCATTGTTGAACATTGATTGCATGTTGAAACATCACATGCAAAAACAAGTTGACGCTACTGCATGCTGGAGTGGCAAGCGAGACCGTGTCTGGTGTGATAGCTATTATCCTTCAGCTTAATCCAAACACACACTGCATCTGGCATGCAGGGTGTGTTTGGATCCTTCATCTTAATCCAAACACACACTGCATCTGACATGTTTCCTTCTGAAATAATACAAATTATGAAATGTACTTAAAAGTAAAACAATTTTGTCCCAGGATGCATGTGGTGCATCTGTGGAGGATGCAAAGAGCTTGTTGTGACATAATTGCAAGGCACTTCATCTGTACAGCGCAAGGCCACAGAGAGGTCAAAACCAGAAATAACTAAAAACATTTCTGAGTATTTTTGTGGTTCAGAGAGCGGACACGCACAAAACCCTTGAATACAACAGCCTTGAGCATGTCACAGAAGTGCAGGAAAGAAACAGACTGAACATGGTTGCAAACGATTCCGAAGCTGGCAAATAATCTCTGCTGAAGTTCAGAACTTTTGTTCAAATAATACCATTAATGTATGCAAAAAAAAAAAGTGGTGGTGTGTGGAAGGGGGTGTCTCAGCTAAATCTCCCTCTTTATTTATGTTTGTAATGTTCAGTTTGGTGTCATTGCGTTTCATTCACAACTCTTTACTCACCCCTTCTCAACAGCTGCTGTTTTTGAGCCCCATCCATTTGACTGTGTGTAAATTGACACTTGCATGTGTTTAACTACTAATACAATTTGTTTATTTCTACATTTTGTCAAGTGCACTCATTGTGTGTTTATTTTAATGTTCCCCGAAGACCATCATTTGTTAGCTACATGATTGATTCATTCTGTGCTTGTTCTTTTTTTTGCACACATTCTTCATTCTTTAGCTGTTTTGTGTTGCTAACACCTTCTGCACATGGAAGGTCTTCTAATATTCATGAGATAATAGTTTTGACCTTTTCTTTTAGACTTTTGACCAACATTTTTCTTCTCCTGTGATCCCAGAGCCCTGTGAAGAGGATGATGACCCAGAAGCAGAAGCAGTCAGTCCTGACTTTGAGCCAGGCACTGAAATAGATCAAGGTTTGTCAAATCCATGTGCCATTTTATGATGATATATCATTATGCCTTCAGAAAGGTTACAGAGTTAACTGTTAGAATTTAATTAATTGAAAACCCCTTCACTATTTTGCAAAATAAAATTAGATTAACAGACTTGACATTTAAAGATCGTCCTTTACTGACAAACATAAGATAAAGTTGTTTTACATAAGTTAGTTACTTTCATTGGTCTTTGAAAGGATTGTGTTGCTTCCTCTTTTTGTAATTTATTTAATTTAATTATTTAAAAAAGGGGAAAGTATAATGGTAACAAGGGTTGACAACGTTTTTTTTTATGATGCATTGTCTAAATTAATGCAGACAAAATGCTTGCTTTTAAAATATATGTTTCTATACATTTTCTATAGTAGTTTCTATACAGGCTCTCACACTGTTTTAATTTCTTTAATGTCACAGAGGACATTCCCTCAGACGCAGAGGCTGAAGCTCGCTCACATTGCATAGATGAAGTGGTGATGCTTCCAGTGGATAATGGCAAAGCAGAGAGCCAGGGACATGTTTCTAACACTGGTAATCATAACCTAATCATAATCATATAAATTCATGCCTTTTCCATTTCTGTTTGAGACTGATGATTGCAAATGTTTATGCACTTGCATAACTTGCGTCTCTGAACACATTACATCAATGTCTTGCTTCATAATTACGCAGGCTTTGATGATTAAAATCACAACACAAGGGATTTTCAATGTCGATCAATATTTGAGCCAGTTTTATTTTTCCTTGCAGAGAAAACATCTGCAAATCCAAGGGAATTTCTTGTGGACGTTGTGCTGTCTCCAATCCAAAAACCTGCTTTACCCATTGAAGAGGTGATACAGGGTTGTGGGATCTAAATGTCTTGGTCTGACTTGTTTGCTTGGTATTTAAAATGACAAAAGCCTCTTCATACTATAAAATTCTACCATTCATTTTCTCTTTCTACAGGTGAAAGACATTTCTCCTGTAATACTAGTTAAATGTCCTGGTGCACGTTTTTTCCCTGAGCCCTATCTATTTGATAATGTCAAACCGAACATTCCCCCGTCTCCGAGTCCTGATGCTAAAAGTCCCCATTCACCTGCTGCTCAAATTGTTGCGCTATCGCCCATCTGCTCCCAACCTGTTCCACAACCACAAACAACGTCTCTTAAATCTCCTGTCCAGCCTGAGCCTTGTGCCTGCTCTCCAACAAGTAATCCTTTGTCTCCAATATGTACCCAATCACAACCCTGCAACAAGCCACCCTCACCCCTCTCCACAAGCTCCCCTGTCAGGACTCAGCCAGTCCCAGCTGTCACTTCCACTCCTTTAGCTAAACCTGCTTCTGAGAAGAGAACCAATGAACCCTTGAAAGATTCAGTGCCTGAGGAAACCCCCGTCAAGAAAACGGACCTCATTGAGGAGTTCTGGTTGAAGAGTGCAGAGATCCGAAAGAGTTTAGGACTCTCTCCTCTGGATCGAAGCAAAGCATCAGTGGAAACTCCAACGCCTGAATCATCATCTTCAAAGTCTTACACCCCAGAGGACTTGTCTGAAGAGCAGAAGCCTACTTTCACAGGCCGTTCTATCATACGCAGGATCAACATTACCTTGGAGGGTCAGGTTATATCTCCGGTGGAACCTAAGAGTAATGGTTCTGAGAAGAAGGACTTGAGCAGCAGTTCAGGGTTGGGTCTTAATGGAAGCGTGACTACCAGTCAGACAGTAGCTAGTGACAGCTACAACAACTCTGATTCTACCATGCTTACCCCTCCTTCCAGTCCCCCACCACCTCCACCTAATGAGGAGCCAGCTTCTTTCCAAAACAAAAGGCCTCAGGTGTCCTGGGACAACCTTCTTGAAGCCACAGAGGAGCCTAAACCTGAGACTACACCGCCTAAACCTAAGACTCCAGTTAGTCCTCCTCAACCAAAACCAGTTGTGGCTCCAGTTCCAGACCCTGGAACTAACCCTCCTGTTGTTATGAGGGTAAAGGACCCGAATAAACCACGCCGTGAAGAAGTGAGAAAGTCTTTTGTGGAGTGTGTAGACGAGATACCATTTGCTGACGACATTGAAGACACATACGATGACCGCACTCCGGACACAAGTGGTCTGGAAAAATTTTACACCCCGCCAACCAGCAAGGTCAACCGTGAGAAGCCGCCTTTACACCTGGCACTGGCAATGGAAAATGGCAAGCCCAACATACCTGGTGGAGTTTCCCGGACAGCAAAGGGTCCCCAACATTTTTCTCCTGAAGCCAAGGAGATTGCAGAAGAGCGAATGCGGGCACGGGAAAAGTCTGTGAAGAGCCAAGCTCTGAAAGACGCCATGTCCAAGCAGCTTACTAAGATGAAAGAATCAGATGCTGCCAAGGGTGCTGTGGCAAAAGTAGCCTGGAATGTTCCTGAGACAACAGGGGAAAACAAAAAGCAATCAAACACACCCAAGGACTCTGCAGTGAAGGCTTTGGAGTCCAAAAAGCAGACAGACACACTACCTGACCGTTTCTTCACCACATCCACCAGTAAGACCTTGGACAGTTCCGTCACATCTTCAGAAAGCTCAGCAGGGGGCAAAAGCAAGAAGCGCAGCTCACTGTTTTCTCCACGCAAGAACAAAAAAGAAAAGAAAGCCAAAAATAAAAGGCTCTCTGGCACAGAAGAGACTCCACCCAAACACAAGTCCCTGTGGAAGGCGGTGTTCTCTGGCTACAAGAAGGACAAAAAGAAAAAAGACGACAAGTCATGCCCAAGCACACCCTCCAGCTCTACAACTGAAGACTCCGGGAAGAAGAAAGAATCACCACTGGACAGGTCCTCAGGTCAGTTAGAATTTTTTTCATTTGAACAACTCCCCCTTTGTCAGAATTCATCCTTGTCTATGCTAGCTCTGTTCCAAAATCTAGTATGAATCCTAAATAGGCAGCTCCTTTCCAAAACAGCATCAAAACCATCATTGAATTCAATTATTTGACTCTCAAAGGATTCCTGTAGAGTCTACTGTTAGCATATTGCTAAGATAATGTGGTACCTTTAATAAGCATGAAAGTACATTGCACAACATTGTGTAGAATATTCTATATATATATATATATATATATATATATACATTGAGATATTAATACTTCATGGTTTTGCTTGAACAATTTGTTGCTCTATAATCAACATCTTGCCTCATCCACAAATTTGGATTTATTTGTTTCCTGTAGTTGCAGTGCATTCTGGGTTTCCCTTTTCAACAAAAAGTATATGTGATGCTACCTTAGAATTTGGTCAATGCAAGGTATATTAAGAGGCATCATTAAATTGCATACCTTTTGGAGCAGCCTTCATGCCTGGAGTGTGCCTGTGAAAATGCTGACCAGTTCTCATTCAGGCTCACTTCAGACCCTCATGGGTTGTGTTAAAATCTTGCAGAATTTTGCTGAGTTTATTTAGAGTTACATATGTTTTTTTAAAGTCTCTTTTAACTGGTTATTTTCTTATGCAAAGTTCTCTCTAATTTACTGATGTAGATTTACGTCTAAGGAGAAATCTCAGTTTTTCTGAGGACTCTGATCTCTCTTTTGATGATGTACTGGAAAGATCCTCTCAGAAGTCCAAGGGTGATGTAAGTATATAATATAAATAGCTTCTTTTTTCTCATTTGAGTCAAATGTTTTCTCTCTGCAGAGTCTCCAATTTTAATGAAATCTTTTACTCTTCTCAGCGCCATGTCCTGTTTGACTTGGTATCAGATTTGAATAAAGAGGCATTTAAAGAGGAGAAATCCAAAGAGAAGGATAAGGACAGGGCAAAGGAAAAAGGAAAAAGAGTAACAGAGAAGGGCAAGGAAAGGTCAAAAGAGAGGGAGAATGAAAGAAGATTCAAAGAAAATATTGTGAAAATGAAGGATGTGGAACAGGAGAAAGGAAAAGAGGAAGAGGTATTTCAGTGATGTATTGCACAGCAGCTAGAAGCTACTGGGTTTCAGACAGAACATGAATGCAACACTATGCCAACAAACCAGTAAATATTTTAGTTAAACAGATTTAAAAAATATTGTACAGCATTGTATTTCATTCGTAACCTGTACGAAATCAAGTATCTTTAGCCTTGCTGTGTTTGTGTGAAGGTGAATAGAGAGAGATTGGGGCTAGATGTGTAGAACGACAAAAAAAATCATATTCTGGTGTCCACCAGAATTCAAAGAAGACAAAAAAAAAAATATATATATATATATATAGTAGGCAAAATATATATATATATATATATAGTAGGCACTTTTAGAGTGCAGTGTTCATTTGACTTTCATAACTAGCCTAGTTGTGGATATGAAGTTGTGGTCGTGACTCGTGACTCAGGTCACAGGTAGTTTGTTTTGTGAGTTGTTTTTTTTTTGTTTTTTTTAGTATTCTCTAGCAAATCTTAATCTAGATTACGTCTAAAAGGTCCAAAATTAACTCTTTGCCACACTTGCCATTGGTGGGTGAACATTTTTGGCCATAGATTTTTTTTTTTAACTATTTCTTACTAATTTTGTTGGTTAATGTGATGAATATTTCACATTCTGTCTGTGAAATATTCAGTTTGGTTGGCGGGGGTTAATTTTGGACCCTGAGTTTAATTGTGTTGCACAAAACACGGTCATATTAATTTGTACTTTTGCACTCATCCCAGTGTCCTTAAATGTTAAGTCTTGTTTTTGTGTGTTGCCATAGAGTCCTGATTTTGTTTAATTGTACATTAACCCATCTAATCACATAATTTTTGTTTTGTTTGTTTTCCTTTTTAATTTATTTTTCTAAGTCTGTTTATGTACCTCATGCATTGGCGTTCAAGAGATCGTATGCCACGAAGGTAGTGTGTTCATTCATTCACATTGGTCTACCCGTTTTACGCATGTCATATCACACCGTCATGCCTAACCCCTGTCTGTTATTGTTGGTCAAAACATGTTTGCTTTATTGTTTTACTAACCATTTTCTGCAGCATGGTGAAGGCTAAAGCGCCCCCTTTCTGTTGGAGGATGTAACCGTATCACATGACGTTCTTAAAAGGCTTTCTGGGCTGCATACTGTTTTCTGTACTGTGTACCTCACTGGTTTACATGCAACTTGTTTTTCTTGTTTCATAGCTTCTACTAGACTTTCTTAAAGCATCTCCAGTCAATATTTTTTCAGTCTATGTCTGTCTTACACTTTGTTACAATTTATTGGCTCTGTGCACAATACCAATGAAATACACAAAGAAATATCTATCTATCTATCTATCTATCTATCGTCATAGTCTGCAAATTTAAAGTTTGAGTCAAGTCTTCTTTTTTGTTAGTATTACTGTTTTGAGTCTCTTTTGTACTGATGTCAGGTGTAGTAAATTTATGAATCATGTTTTCTTTTTTTTCTTTTTTTAGAATGGAGTACTTAATATACTGACGTGTTTAATTATTTGTTGAATTTCCAGCCAAAATACACACACAGTACCATTATTGTGATAAAAAGTTATACTTATGATTATACTTGGCTACTAATGACTTGATTATACTGCTAAAATCTAGAGCATCTAGAGGTGCTTTAGAATTGTAAGTCAAAAGTACTTAAGTATGTTGTAGTAGTTACCTAGCTTTGACATTAGGCTCTGTTTTAGACTCTGCTGTAGCCTTCTATTCCACAAACCCCTGCCGTAGACATCTATGAGATGCCAGACAAGGATCCATCTACAACTGACCTGGACACAGGTTACAGGAGCGCTGGATCTGATTTTTAATTTCCTATTGCAGAAAACATACACGGAGGAGGAACTTAATGCCAAGTTAACAAGAAGAGTACAGAAAGCTGCACGGAGGCAGGCCAAGCAAGAGGAGCTCAAGAGACTCCACAGAGCCCAGGTGAAAGCATACTAATGACTTTTTTTTGCATGAGGTTGTCAGAAAGTTGAATTTCAGCCATCGCCATGCAGAAGAAACGAGTGTGGAATTACAAAATTAACTAGAAGCTGCTTTTTGATTCCTCAGATCATCCAGAGGCAGCTGGAGCAGGTGGAAGAGAAACAGAGGCAGTTAGAGGAGAGAGGTGTCGCTGTGGAAAAGGCGTTGCGAGGGGAAGCAGGTATTTCTCTCTTTCAGTCTCACTTCATTCTGAATGTTTCCTCAGATGCGCTGCTGAAGGGTTAAAGCCTTGGCGTAGATCTTCATATCTCATGCTTTTCTTTGTAGTGATACTTTGACCTTTAGGTCAGAGCGCTGCATGCTTGCTGTTTCTAGATTCAAGCTTCAAACTACAGTGCAGACTTAAAATGATGTAAAATAATGTTTATGCATTATTTGCCTTATGATTAAAAGCGATTTTATGAACTTGGATTAGTTAGTATTCTGATGCATAATAATGTGATGCCTTTTTTTTCATATACAAACCTTGCTAGAAGGTTTTATCTCATTACTAAATTTGTGACACCGGGCTCAACATAGACATAACATTAGCATTACATTCAGAGTTCACATGGTTATGGAAAACCTGGAAATGACAGGGAATTGTGATTTCCGGGCCTGGAATAGGCAATGATAATTATTAAAACCTTGAAAGTCATGAAAAAGTAATAGACTTTTTTGTAGTGAATATCTTTTTTTCTTGTTATGCTCAGCTCAAAATTATTTATATGCCAAAATTGCTTTTTGAGCTCTCCAGTTGAGCTGCAAGCGAATCTCAAGGCATTTTTTTTGTTTTCTTGGACACATTTTTACATTTAAAAAAATCATTTAAATCTATTAAGTCCAAGGTTTTGTACCTGACATAAAGTTGGATCTGCCCCTGCAAACTCTGTAAAATACTTTTTACAAATCTTTATTCACTAGAAGATCCTTTAAGAGTATTTTAAGTCTTTATATGAAAATGTAAATATATGTCTATATATACCGTACATATTAGAAATATGTTTTTTTTTTTTCAAATATTGCAGAAAATATTGCAAAAACTGCAGTGTGTAATGCTTCTAATAAATCAAATATAGGTATTGCAAAATGAATGTTTTGACAGTTCTATGGCTGTTCTTATCATATTTTATGTGTTTTCTGCATTAAATTGCACATGACAAGCTATCACAAATTTGGATTTTCCTTTTGATATGTACTACAGTAACAGCTGAGAGAATTACTAGAATCTTTTCCGTTATTGGATTCAAGGAAAAATGGTTTTCTGTTGCAAAATATGAACAGATAATATTAACAAAATCAAGTAGCTGTAGCTGTAACAAATGAAAATTTATGGATTTGTGATTTCCAGACAGTAGGGTAATTATAGGCAGTAGAAGAAAAATGATGAATTATTGCCTCCTCTCTCACCTCCCCCTCTCCCCTCCATCGCATCTTTTTTATCTAGTGTTTCTTAATCTCTTTTTATCCTTTACTCTCTCTAAGGGTTGTATAAAGGTTCTAGTGTTAGTCCAAAACAGCGTAAGAGGCGCTCAGGTCCATGGTGATAACTCTAGTAGTTGTTGTAGTCGTCTCAGCGTATCATGCCATTCTCATGCCGAACATCGTCTCTCCTGGTCTCTCCTCACGTGTGTCTCAACTGCATGCCCCGTCAATCCGGTCTTGCCAAACATAGATTTGTATGCTGCCTCACTGGATGTGAGCCACTATAAATGATTAATAGGCTGTTTCTTCGGTTTTGAATCTATATCATTCCGTTTTGTGGATCCTAAAGCACCTTTTTGTGAGTTGTCTGGTAAATGCTATATTCATGTTTTGTTGTTCAGCATAACATATATTCACAAGCTGTACAGGGTTAAAATGCCTGATATACATTGAATAACAGGAGTTTTAGATAGATTCTAGATAGATAGATAGATAGATAGGTGTTTAATCAAAACAAGGGTTTTAGATACAAAAACGTATTCGCACTCCAGAGTCTCCCTTGTGGCAGAACACAGCAGTGTAACAAATCTATGTGCTCATCTACCATTACAGGACATGCACTATAAAAGCAAGTTACTACATGTGTTTACATGCCAAATAACAAATGTGATGAGTGTGTATTCAGCATACCTTACTGTGTGAGCGTGTGTGTGTTTGTGTGCAACATATGCATGACTTAAAGCTACTGGCTGTGCCTGTGTGTGCAGTAACATGTTTCTAATATATCCTTATTATAGACTATTGGGGAGAGTCTAATTACAGTGAGATCCTGGATTTGCATCTGGGCGGTATGTATTTCAAATCTGTTGCTTGAAATGGACTAACATCTGACGCCCTCTTTTCCCTCTGTACTTACTGAGTCTTCCCTCTGCCTAAATTTTCCCTGTCATTTTACCCTGCAAAAATGTAATGTTAATTCACTTTATGTAATTTAGATATTTTAGGAAATGTTTATATTATATAGTATTATATTAAATAGTATTTTCTTATTTTATTTAGATTTATTTTGTATTTATATTTTAATCATGAATTATTATTAGTTATTATATATATTTTATTATATATAGATGTTTCATTTTTAAGGATTATATAATTTTTTATAAACTATTTAAATATATTAATATATTTTATAAATATAAAAATGTTATATAATCATTTAATTCTTTTATTATTATTATTTTTTTTTTTTTTTTTTTTTTTTTTTTTTTTTTTAAAATTTTTAAAAATTTCAGTTTTAATCTTAGTTTGCAAACTAAAAATGTGCCATTAATATTTAGCAGCATCTGAAATCCAAAATGCTTAATCAAATAAATGTAGCTAGCTTGCAATCCTGATTAAGCCCCTCCCCTCTAGCCTTTTGTTAGATGTCTATGGCTGTCTGCTTTACCCGCCAGCACTTTAGCTTTCATATTTTCCTCCCATACCTGCTCAGTTGCATAGGGGCCCCGGACCCCGAGAGATCCCAGTGTTCAGTGCATCATTCCTGATTGCGATTGATCTAATCATGTGTAGCTCGTCTTCACTGTGTTCCCTAAACTTATATCTCATGCTGTGGATCTGTTGAGTGCTTGTTTGAATGAGTGTATTGTCTTGTGGCGTTTCGTTGATCACACTGTGAAGTTACAGGCAAGCCATGCCGAGATCACCCACGCAGACAGAGATATAGCGTGGAGCGCTGTTTGTGATGGTGTATAAATTACCCATAGTTTTTAAAGGACATTGGGGCATTGTTTAAACCATCTTCTGAATCTTTTTCAATGCAACCAGATGTTTCTTAAAGTAGCATGCCAAAAAGTTCTTGCAAGGTAACAAGGGTTATTTTAGGTGGTAGTTTATGGGTCTTTACACATGCTAAGAGTATATATCAACAATTGTTTAATTAGAAAACCCAGGTAAGTACAACATATTCACATTTTATAAATGTTCGGGTAAATTGTCTGAAGGTGTTGATGGGAAAAGCATTTGAAATCCAAAAGCAAGCTAAATTCACTAAAGTTTGTAAGACTTCTGTTTGGCGTTTTAATGCTGCAACCCCATAATTGCTTCTTGTGGCTACATTTTCTTTCATTTTTGTAACAGGTGCACAGAGATTAAGTGGCTAATATGTGTGCTGTTTGCTTGGACTGATTTTCCTGTAAGAGTTTTTTTTTCCATCACAACCTAGTTGGTGGTGGACCTGCTAACAGTTGGTGGATTTCTTGTAATCCTAGCTCAAAAACGCTGTATAATTATTGTCAGCATTCTGAGGCCTATGGCTTAGGCATTTTTGTAGCCATTAAAAAAAATTCAGAAAACTTTTGTTGATTTCTGTGTAACTTTGCATCAGTGTGCATTTGTTTATGGCCTGTTTCCTGTGGGTCGTTTCCATGCATGTCTGCATAAGAATGTTACTTTTCATGGATAATTAGTTACCAATTCTTCCCATAACTGCAGAGGATGAGCCAGCGAAATGAGATGATGCGGTTTAAGATGAGTACTCAATGCATGTTAGATTGAAACAAATCCTTTCAGTTAAATACCCCTTTAATGTCTATTTGCTTTTTACGTGTCGATAGGGTCAGAATAGTGGTCACTTACATAGAATAGGAAACTAAACGTCCTCAACCTTCACATAAGACTGTTATATTAGTGCTGATTAGTTTCAGCCACTTCTGAATGCAAACAATGTCAAAGTTGGGCTTTCGAGGGTTGCGTTGACAAACTCCTCTGTGAATAGCCCCTTGTTGTGAATTACTCGACATCCAATTGTTTCAGCATTTTAAAGACCATTCCGTCATCCTAGCTTTGCAGAGCATAACGAATTGTACAAGGATCTGGGTTTTAATTTGCTCCCATGCATCATTGGCGAAATCCTTTACTCTGGTGCCAATCATTCTTCTAACGTTCATTTGATGCGTTTTTGTCTAGAGCTCTTTTTCCTCATGTGGCTGGATTGACACCCGCCGTATAGATTGCTGATTTCCACATCAGACGTAGTGAGAGGATTGAGAAATATATTTTGCACCCAGGAATATCCCCAAAGATGATATAATAATTCAACTTTAGCTTTTAAAATCAATTTTTTCTAGACCCCACTTTCAGGAGAGCTACAATTGCATACTGTACTTCTTTGATGTAGCCTGTGCAGACATTAGGTTTGCTCTTGAGTTGCCACTTATTTGCCCTCAGTAGTGCACAGAAGGAAAAGTTCAAAGAGTAGTTCATTTCAATTCATGTTTGCGCTCTGTCCCGTGTCATTTCCTCCCAATATGTGACATCACACTGCTGCTTTCAGTTTCTCCCGAGAGTTCTTTCTCTTTTTGATTTAGCTCCTCACTTTTATTTCTCTTCCACATCTCTTTCTTTCTCTCCTTCTTTCTTGATTTCACCCTTCTGGTCACCTCCACCACTCTGCTTACTCTCTCTCTCTCTGCTATCTCTCTCTCTCTCTCTCTCTCACATTCCTTTCCTGTGTTGTGGAAGTTGAGCCCTATGTCGGGACCGCTCGCCGAAGAGCCCTGTACCTCTGCCCCTGCTGTGCCCCTGAAGGTAACGTAAACCCCGTCATGTTTTCCGCTGGCCAGTTGTGTTACCATAAAAACATGGCCAGCGGCGTTACTTTGACAACCCACTGGACCTGTGGAGTACTGCTTTTGCCCTTCAACCACAAAGTCCTCTCCCCTGCCCATGTGTGTCCAGGCTTAGTGGATTTCCCCCAGCAGATTGCGTCAGTGCTTCTGATGTACAAATACAAATTTGTAGCAGGCGAATAACTGGCTGGCTGGACGATATTATTTGCCAATATTCGATTCCATGTCTCAATTAATGCTTTTGTTGTGAAATATGTTATGAGAATGATATTTTAATTTAATTAAACTTTTGAGGTGTATTTTGATATTTAAATATATTTTATTAATATTTTATATAATAATTTATTTTTCAGTATTTTATTTTATTTGGTATCACAAAGTAATTTTTATTTAGTGGCATTTATAATTAAAATCATTCATATCTAAAGAAAAAAAAATCCATAATTTCTTAACACAATTTTTGCCAAATCGCTTGTTTGCAAATGGTCCTGGCATTATATTTACTTTCAGTGTTAATGATAGTTTGGAAACTAAAAGTGTTCCAATAAAATGTAGCAGCACAAATCTGAAATGCTTCAACAATCAGTCAGATGTAGCTAGCTGTAATAGATGTAGATAACAGATTTTATTTGATCTATTTATGTAGCTGCCAAGTAGATTCAAAATGTTTTAAGCAAGAAGTAACATTTTCATTTTATTTATATGCACCAAAATAATTCATTGTAATAAACAGGAATGCTGTGTATTACATTTTAAAACATGTAGTGTGCCATGCAAGGATTTTCATGAACATCTGCCCCAAATTGACTGATGAATTGAATCAGGAAATTTGAAAGAATTAATTCGGGAGAATTTTTGTTAAAGAGATTAGATGTTATTAAAATTCTATATCATCAACAAAAAATCGAATATGTGGTAAATGTTTGGTATATCGCCCAGCCCTCAGCAGTAGCAGCTTAAGTTAGGCCCATATTTAGGTTCCCTAATTGATCAAGGTTCTACTTTTATTTTATATACACTTTAGACTTTCTAAAGAGGATTAGCATAAATGCGGTTTTAATTAGTACATTAGAGCAGACCTAATATGATGACACCGATCATTAGTGTCTATTTTGGGGGAAACTGCTCTGCTGACTGTAAGTGTGAATTTAAATAACAGCATGATTGTCATCTGCTCTTACCAAGTTCTAAAACTGTCAGTGTTTTACGTGTCCCAACCTCACAGCTCCTTTACAGAGCTGTATCGTGGTAATCCATAGAATATATATTCACTGTGTGTCCATATGTTTCCATAATACTGATGATTTGTTTTAAAGGATAGCATGTGTAAGGGGAACACTATAGGAAAGTGAGGTCTCCAAACTTAGTAGTCATTTTTATGTCTTTGTCTTACCATTACATTTCAAATTTAAAGTCAACACGAAATCAATATTGACTCTGACATTTTATTTTATTTTATAATTTTTTATTTTATTTTATTTTTTTTTTATTTATTTTTTCCCTCTGACTCCTGGTGTTAATGTGTATGTTATCCATATATATATATATAGTATAATTTAGTTTACTATATTAGGTTACCAATTTGTTTTATACGTAATATTTATAGTAAAATATATTTGATATTATGTACTATATGAATTCGATATTCAGTACTCTCAGTAAATTTCTGGTTGAAATATAACAATATATAAGTAAAATGGCAGCATTTGACATTTCATGTTGACTTTACATGCTGTAGCACAAAATGCAAAAGTTTGGCAACATTGTGTTTTTGTCAGTTTGTAATCTGGTGCGTGTAACTATGCCTGTATATAACAGTGCCCTTTTGGCACGACGTTAGCGTGGCTGTTCTACGACTGTTCTAACTGTTGTTCTTCTTTCTCTGTTCCTCTTGGGAAAAGCATGGGGCTGAGTGTGGGGGAGGCCACTCACAGTGCGTCCCACTGGATAAGTTTAGCCTCCCTGTCCTCCGTTGTCCCTGTCTCTCACTGTTTTTATCTCTGAGGACCTCTACTTTGCCTCTGTGTGTTTAAAACAGTCAAGGCCAGCAACCGCGAGCACAGCCATTCGATTTATGTGTGTACTGTCTTTTTCCCTTTTGTGTTGCAAGAGCCGCCTCTCCGTCAGCTAAGTACGTCATGCTGCATCCAGGTTTGCCGTGCGATGGCTCATCTCAGTGCTTGGCTTCACTCGTGTGTTTATGTATGTGCGTGTAAGGATGGGAGATGGGATTTTCATAGATGTCTGGGACTGTACTAGCATGGGCTGACATGTACAGTTGTTCCCATATACAGCCGGTTGACAGTATTCTGCACTGATCATGGACTTCAGCACATGCCATGAGGCTTTTTACCTCATGCAATACGTTAGAGGTACGTCTAACTGCACTGCAGGTAAAGAATATTGAGTCACGAGCTTAACCCAAAGCCCTTTTTAAAGGAATGTTCCAGGTTCAATGCAAGTTATACCTGCAAGCTTTTGCTGCATAATGTTGATTACAACAGAAAATGATTTTGACTTGTCCTTTTTGTTTTTATAACAAGCAAAAATTGTGGTTGTGTTAAGGCACTTACAGTAGAAGTAAATGGGACAATAAAATTAGCATTAAAGTTCAAAGTCATTTTAAAGCCATTAAAAGCCAGTGTGATACTAATTATTTCTGTGTAGAATGTATCCAATATTATGATACATGACCTTTTTATCTAGAAAACAAATCCAACCTTTTGCTAATTTAATAAGTATTGTTGCAATTATTTGTGTAATTATAATATATAATTTTTTTATATAATATTATTATTATATATATTTTATATCATTTTTTAAAATAATTATTTGTATATTCAAAATGTAGATTTGTATTTATAATAATCATATATATTTTATTCATTCTATTTTTTTAAAAGCAAAATTCATTTTTTAATCAATTCAAAAATGAACAGCATTTATTTGAAATAAAAATTATTTATAACATTATTTCTTTATGGTCACTTTTGAGCAATTTAAAATATACTGGGTGAATAAAAGTGTTTCTTTTAATAAAAAAAATTAAACGTTTGAACTGTCACGTGTTATTTATATTTATATATTATTTGTAAGAAATATTAATAATGTTTTATAAGAGAAGAGTCAAAATTATTTCTTATGGTAATCAACACTTTGCCACCAGTACTGTCAGTAGAGCTGAACTTGTAAAGAAACTGGAACATTTCTTTATGATATGTCATAATTATTGCCATGCCATTATGCTAAAATGGTATACAGTTGAGTAACTTGCATAATTTTTGGAGGAAAACTCCTTGGAGCAAGCTATGGACCCACAAAGGTAAAACCAAGTTTATAGGGCTGCACGATAAATATTGCACGATATTTAATGCGCATCTCGTCAGTAAAGCCGGTTCTGTAATCAGCGGTAAATCTCTACACGTGCGTGCTGTCACGTGGAGCACGAGATGCGCATTAAATATCGTGCGATATTTATCGTGCAGCCCTACAAGTTTAGATGAATTTAGATGTTCACACTTTTTGACATATACCTGTGACATTGCCTTGGATTATTGGGTAGCTTTCATAATTAATAGACGTAGTCCTGCAAAAGAAGGTTTCAAAGTTTGAAGCAATATCCACTGCCTTGAAAAAGACCAAATGCCTCAGAAGTCCAGTCTGATCAGCATTGATCATGATATGCTGTCCAATCAGAAGTCGTACCTCCACGCCATCCTCTGTGAACCCGGCAGGCTCGACCTCATCACGGTCTTCCACATTCCCACCCTACTCTTGCCCTGACAAAGACATCCTAGCTTGGCTGTCATCGCATTTGCTGTGTGGGGTGTCGGTGTCAGGTCTGTGTGTCAGCGAGTGGTTAACTGCCGGTTTCCTCATGCTTCTACAATTTGCTTCTTGCAGGAATGGGTAAAAAGGACGATCCAAAGCTGATGCAGGAATGGTTTAAACTGGTGCAGGAGAAGAATGCCTTGGTGCGCTATGAATCGGAGCTGATGATATTGTGAGTAGACACCCAATTTAAGATTCATTGCTCATTTCCCATTTCACAATGCTCTTAATTTTTTTCTTAATGCTTTTTAATTTGAACTTAATTTTCTAGTCTATCCACATTAAGAAGTTTTTTCAAACTTTTCAAAAAAGCTTTATTTATTTATTTATTACAAAGAAACTCATATTCTTGTATGTTAATGTTTCTCCGTAAAAAAAAAATCTGTTTTCCATTACACTGTTCTCCAAAACAACAGCCAAAAGTGGGAAAAAATATTTGCTGATCCAGCTTGAAGTTTCTGTCAAGTTTTTACGGTTAGGGTGTTTTGACTTTTACATTTGTGATAATTTTATGAAATTTTAAGATTTTTTTTTAAAAACTGTATAAAATAAGCCAAAACCTTTAAGTTATAAATTAAGAATTTGCATATTAATGTATGTGAATCTTAATAATTTTTGTAGTTTATTTATTTTTATTCTTTTAAGTTTTATTAATTTATTTCTTTGTTTTTTTTCAAAATGTAATATTAACAAACTCCAGTGTATTGTCTGGAGTCTGGATGTTTTTATTCATTGTACAAAAGGAACAAATGCTTAGTCTTTCGAAACAAGAACTGATGGTCTCTAAAAGGCAAATTCGCTGTAGGCAACAAGATGGTGCTGAAATATTATACCAGATGCATTTATTTGATTCTGTTTTGTTCTATTTACATTGAGTGGATACGAGATGCAATTACATAGTGACTGTGCCACAGATGTAATCAACTGTGCATCTCTGTTTGCAAAGATGAGCACCAAATGGCCCATACATTCAGGCAAAAGGGAAAGTTTAATCAACAAAACCCAAATTACAAAGGGGTTTTCATTAAGAAAAGAAAAACCATGTTTGTGGGATCTCCATAGGGAGATATTAACAGTTATGCAGTTATTGGCTGTATCACATTTGTCATCAACACTTAAGTTCAGTCGGTCAGTATTGGATATGTAATTGTGTGATTGTTTCCCCTATTTTTACATTTAGATTTTCCCGAATGTAGAAGTGCTCACTTAGAGTTAATATTTAATACACTTATAATTTAATACGACTTTAAAATGTAATCTTTAGCAAATCTCAAAATGAATATCAATTTTCATAATGTGCATTAAGGTAGTGAAGCCTAAATTCACTTAAATTATTTGAATTGTTTGATTTTTAGTTTTAATATATTATTTTAAAATAGTATAGCATTTTAAAATTGGCCATTTAGCAACCTGAATATTAATTTATTTATTAGACATCATTTTAATAACAGTGCAAGAAGTTTAATAACAAACAACTGATCAACCAAATAAAAGACGATCCAACAGTGCTTTTAACGTTTGCTTTAGTTCTTCTCAAAGTACATGGCTTAAAAGTGCATCTGCTCATCCATACCCTCGTGTTTGTCTGGACTGTCAAGCATAAACCAAACATTATGGTGCTTTAATGGCAGATGGTTCCTTAATTATCCATGTGTCGCATCAAGGAATCCAATATCTTTGAACATCAAACATTTTTCAAACGTCCTCACACAAACTCTATAGTTTAACAGACGTTTGTTCTCTTCTTCCATTCAGTTCTACTTCTTCCTTTTTCTCTGCAGTGCTCGTGAGCTGGAGTTGGAGGACAGACAGAGTCGACTGCAGCAGGAACTGCGAGAACGCATGGCAGTGGATGGTACTTTGTACTCCAGTATAGGCCTGATCATATTGTAACACCAAAAAAAGTCATACACATTTTCTTTAAATCAATTTTTCACTCTCTGCAGACCATCTGAAGACCGAGGAGGAACTTGCAGAGGAGAAACAGATTCTGAATGAAATGTTAGAGGTGGTCGAGCAAAGAGATTCTCTGGTGGCCCTGCTGGAGGAGCAGAGACTCAGGGAGAAAGAAGAGGATAAAGACCTGGAGTCGGTGATGCTCTCTAAGGGTTTCAACCTCAACTGGGCTTAGCATAACAATGGCGAAACGGTTCTGACCGCCAGCGATTCCCAGTTTCACCGCAGGGAGTGTAAAAAATTGCAGAAAGAACCGGTCTGTCTCTCCCCTCGTTTTATTGGGCATGTCAAGAACGTTTACAAATCCACTCATGAGCACGATGATGATGTTTACGAGTACGACTCGGGGCGTTTTGTCCCCCGGCAGCCAAGGCATTGGTTCTGTGAAAGACGTTCTCTCATTAAGAATGATTTTTTATTATTTTTTTTTGTCTTGAAAAGGGACATCAATCCTGCTGATGTTGAGGAAGTCTGAGACTAATGATCTTACTAAAAGCCCGTCTTGTTTTTCAGAGAATGTCTGGTCAATCAGCTGTTACGTTTTCATGGACAAAATGTGTTTGGATAAACGTATAAGCATCATACCTCCAAGCAACAGATGAATGAAGTCTTTATAGGTGTGGTTCACAGATAAGCATGTGACAGACTTCTGTAATTGTCACAGCAGACATCCTCAGCGACCGACACGTTGTGTTTGTAGCATTGACAATTGCACAATTTTCAAATCTGTCAGTAGCCACCTGATATTAGAGATATTGGTGTATGCAGGGAGCGCAACGATCTCGATGTTACATACTTCATTGATGTTGGTTTCCATTTGTCTCGAGTGGCGTTACTGCACATATATCCTAAAATCAGTTTACAATCATTTATAATCCATGAATATCTGATACTTGTATTATAGTTTACATAAAGCAGTGGAGTATATATTAGTATGTAAACTTCCTCAATGCAGAAAGTTCATAAGATTATCTATATACACACAATATGCATTGATATACAATCAAATGCGTTATGCATTTGTTGGTTGGTCAGTGGTTTCATGAACAGTTAAGGCACCCACTGCTTTTCTGACTTTATTTAGTATCAAATCAGATGAAGAATTGGTGCCCATTTTCACATTTAATTATCTGCCACCATGGTTTGGTGTCATATTTCACTTTCTCCAGGTTTAGAGCAACATGCCTTTTTTAACTTCTCATGCAACAGCTTTTCACATCCACAGAGTTTTCTTATGTTTGCAGAGTGTGTTATTTATAATTGTCTTTGTAAAGTTTTATACCACTTGAAAACGTTCCAGCACTGTCGACAGACACCGGTGCTGATTAACAGCGGGAGCACGTAGTCATGCTCGCAACATCGAAATTGCAAGTGAACATGCCTTTTTCCTAAGTGTACATTTCATTTTAGTCACCGTTATGCTGTATAGATGGGCACAGATTTTTTTTCTTTTACTGTAAGTACAGATAACTGTGAATGAAAACGTACACTTGGTCAAAGAGTTATTTAGACTAAAATGTTTGACAGATTTTATGGTATTTATTAACGTGTGAAAAAATGTATTATATGTAAAGTAAATGAATCCTAATTTTTAAAAATATGTTGGTTCTTGAAAATGCTTCATGTCGCTAATTTGCATATTGGGTATTGGATGTATGCAGACAGAGGCAATAAAACAATGCAGTTGTTACAAATGACTCTACAGTGCTTGAAAGTTTTTTTCCACCTCTTTTTGCAGTTTAACTTCAACTTCTTAATGTGCAGGCTTTATTCAAATGTATTCAACCTTGGTGTGCTTTTTGTAAACAAGAAATTTAAATTTGGAAAATTTTGCAATGTTGGTCAGCTTTCAAAATTTAACCCATTAAGATTGTGATATTTGCATATGAATTCTGAAGCCTTTTTTAACGTCTGTTTGCATAGGTAATTGTGGTGTTTATTATTATTATTATTTTTACATATGTATCCATCAAGCATTTCAATGTTGGCCTGTATTTTTTATTTTTTTTACCTGAAACTTACCACTTGCCACTGTTCATTTGTATCTTTGCAAGTACTAATGTTTGCTTCAGGAAAGGGACATTCGCTATTCAAATCTTTTAAAATCCAAGCAGATCTTTTCAGGCTTAAAAAATACACAGCAAGAAAATACATATAAGAGGGAAACTGTAGTAAATCTTGACCTTTGGAAGTAGGGAACGTGCAAAAATTCTTTTGCATTATGTAGCACAAAAACCAACTTCCGATTTCCAATACTCCACAGTGATTTCCCACATAATATTTTTAAGTAATTTTATCTTAAAATCAATAATGTCCATTTATTTATTTGGTAAGTAGCCTTGTAATAAGTGTGATAATGTACATTCAGCTGGTCATTATCGCAAGATAAGCTCCTTCACGGTGATACAAGCCATTCATGGCTTTCCTAAATTAGGAAGTTAGGCTTTCCTCTTTAATCTCTTATCTGTGCTGCAGTGATGGGTCATGTGATCTCTACTGGGCTGGAGTTGGTGGGAACAGGAAGTTCAGTCCCGCGGGATGAGAGATTGGCCAGCGCGGTGAGGAGGACCGTGGAGTTGGCGAACTCTCAGGAGCTCACGTCCAGAGAGAGGAGCCATGTGAAAGCCGTGGAGCTCTTCTCTAAAGGGTGAGTTTACACAAAGCAGACCAAGTGTACAAGAACACTCAACAGGTGACATAACGAACATTTCACATCCGCCGACACAGGAGGTGGATGGCATGGAGATTTTGCAGCCAATGTAATGATGTTTTTTCTGACTCTTTTTAAGCCAAGTTGCCTGTGGCCCACAAGCAGTTATGAATTGGTTCTTTTAAGATTCATGTTCACTTTACTGTATCCTTGGGCAATAAAGAGTGTGACTGCCATGTGAAAGTTTAGGTCTGACTAAAGTTCTTGAATAAAGAAGCCTTTCTTACAGACGTTTTCCCATAATTTCTGTTCTCAGCACTAATTAATTTGACATAATAGTATTATGTCAAAAGATCACTTTTAAAAGAGGTTTTGGAGGTGACCAATATATTTTATACATTTTAGCTGGTAAAAAAATACATTTCTGTAAAAAAAAACCTGTTAAAATCATATTCAGTAACTGAAATAAAATATAAATATTAAAGGGATAGGTCACCCAAAAATGAAAATTCTGTCATTAATTACTCACCCTCATGTTGTTCCAAACCCGTAAGACCTTCGTTCATCTTCGGAACACAAATTAAGATATTTTTGATGCATTCTGACAGCTCTCTGACCCTCCCATAGACAGCAAGGGTACTACCACGATCAAGGTCCAGAAACGTAACGAGATCGGTAAAATAGTCCATGTGACATCAGGGGCTCAACCTTAATATTACGAAGATACGAGAATACTTTTTGTGCGCAAAAGAGAGAAAAAAAAACGTCTTTATTCAACAATTTGTCTCCTCCGCGTCACCCTAGCGCCATTTTGTAGAGTATCCACTGAACGCAAAGAGCGTATGCTATTCTGTGTCAGCCGCACCACACGGATATGTTGTCTACGTTGTTTGTGCTTTGATTTGAACGAAAACAACTTCAACAACTTCGTTGTTTTCGTTCAAATCAAAGCACAAATTGTTGAATAAAGTCGTTATTTTTTTTCTTTTGTGCACAGGAAGTATTCTCGTAGCTTCGTAATATTACAGTTGAACCCCTGATGTCACATGGATTATTTTACCGATCTCCTTGTTACGTTTCTGGACGTTGATTGTGGTAGTACCCTTGCTGTCTATGGGAGGGTCAGAGAGCTGTCAGAATGCATCAAAAATATCTTAATTTGTGTTCCGAAGATGAACGGAGGTCTTACGGGTTTGGAACGACATGAGGGTGAGTAATTAATGACAGAATTTTCATTTTTGGGTAAGTAAGTTTAAGCTGAATTACTAAAATTACAAAGGTAAATAGAAATATTTAGTAATATTTAAAAAAACAGTTATTAAAACTAAAATGAATAAAAATGTAAGAATAAAAGCTAATTAAAATATGAATAAATACTATTCGTATTTAGTATATAAACAACACTGTTGTGTAAATGTCAAATGAATTATGAATGAAGTAGACTGAATGTGTTTCAGAGCCCTGCATAAGGCCTGTGAGGTTTGGGAGGGTATTCTGGCGGATCACCCCACAGACATGCTGGCACTGAAGTTTGCCCATGATGGATTCTTCTACCTGGGTGAACAGACTCAGATGAGAGACTCTGTGGCCAGGGTTCTGCCCCACTGGAAACCACATATGCCGTTTTACAGGCAGGTTCCCGGCCCGTGCTCAACCAATCTAGATGCTGGCTTTAGATGTATTCTACCATGTGATGAATTGTGCAATACTTGTAAAAAAAAAATATATATATATTACATATATGTATATTACATACATATATACACACATATTATTTCTAATTTTTACTTACATATTTATTTTTATTTAAAATAATTTGATAATTATTAAAAAAAAATTATAATATTGTTTTAATAATTATTTTGTTTATTTTTCATTTTACTAGGTTAATTTCTTCATGCCTAAGATGATAAATGTAAAATTAAAAATGAAATGTTTAACTATTTTTTTTCTAGATAAAATGTTGTTTTTATTGGATATTTTTTCCAGTTATCTCAAAGGGATGTATTCCTTTGGGCTTCTTGAGACTCGTTTGTATGATGAAGCTGAAAAAATGGCAAAAGAGGTAGTTTTGTTTAACTGCATATATGTTGTTCATTACTATTGCTCACTACTTTCTTATGTTATGGCACTATAATGTAAATAAATGACTAATTAGGCTATGAAACATGCATTATTGATTATAATTGTATTAATATTTTTTAATGCAGTAGACACAGTAAATGTGCTGTGCTTGTCTTGCAAAAGTGAAAATAAACAGAATAATAACAGATTTCACGTGCACAAGTCCAATAAAGTCCAGTGTACTGGACAATTAATTTTTTATAGTTCCCCACACAGAAAATTTGAATTATTTAATTTCTTATAATTTATATATATATATTTTTTTTTACTTAAAATGTTATACCAGCAAATAAGTGAATACAATTATATTTTAAAGTAGTTATTAAAGTATTTTCTGCTACTATAGTATATACAGTATGATGTTTTCATTGGATGTTTTCTGTTTTTTTCCAGTTATCTTAAAGGGATGTATTCCTTTGGGCTTCTTGAGACTCGTTTGTATGATGAAGCTGAAAAAATGGCAAAAGAGGTAGTTTTGTTTAACTGCATATATGTTGTTCATTACTATTGCTCACTACTTTCTTATGTTATGGCACTATAATGTAAATAAATGACTAATTAGGCTATGAAACATGCATTATTGATTATAATTGTATTAATATTTTTTAATGCAGTAGACACAGTAAATGTGCTGTGCTTGTCTTGCAAAAGTGAAAATAAACAGAATAATAACAGATTTCACGTGCACAAGTCCAATAAAGTCCAGTGTACTGGACAATTAATTTTTTATAGTTCCCCACACAGAAAATTTGAATTATTTAATTTCTTATAATTTATATATATATATTTTTTTTTACTTAAAATGTTAAACCAGCAAATAAGTGAATACAATTATATTTTAAAGTAGTTATTAAAGTATTTTCTGCTATATAAAATATCTTTATAATTCCTTATTAACTGAATGCACCATTATTGTAATGCATTATGCCTGCAGGCCCTGGCTCTGACCCCTGAGGATGGTTGGAGTGTCCACTCTGTGGCTCATGTCCATGAGATGAAGGCAGAGATGGACAAGGGACTGAAGTTCATGGCCTCTACAGAGAAAGACTGGATGGTCAGTCTCAGAAATACTGCAAAGAACATATAAAGATTAACATGTAGAAGCACACTGTTTAGAAGCACACTGTGTAGCAAATAGTGTATTGTAAAAATTCCAGGTCATATGATGTCTTATTTCTCCTCTAAAGGTGTGTGACATGTTGGCATGTCATAATTACTGGCACTGGGCTCTATATCACATTGAAAACGTAAAATTTAAAAGACAACAAGATTATATCAACTACAAAAAAGTACTTTTATCCATGTGTACTTTTATCCATTTGTTTGTTTATTTATATTCATTCACTTCATAAACCTCAGGCATTATAAACATCTCAAAAATGGTTTATAATACACACACATGCATATATATATATATATATATATATATACACAGTGGGTCTTTTTTAAATTTCTTTATGTGATTTATTACTATTTTTCTTCCACAGGGGAATTATGATGACGCTTTGAAGATTTTTGATGAGCAGGTCAGTGCACTACTGTGCACATGCTACTAACATTATACTTACTAACAAAGAAGAGGCATAATACTACAGTGGTTTCCAATTTAATACCATGTTTTTTTTTTCTATGTATCATGGTAGTAGCATGGTATTCTTTAAAGTGCTTTGGAGTACCATGTCAGTACCAAGGTACATGAATCTGTTACAGCATTCAGTGTATATCAAAGGTAGTGCCATCTCATACCACCCATGGTACCACCACAACACTTTTTTGTTTCAAGAGTAGGGTAAATCTTGCAGGCACACAGATAATGTAATTAGTCATACCAGGGGAGAAGTGTAAATCATGTCATGTGGTTCCGTATGGATTGTGACGGATTCAGGCTGGTGAAAGTTGAACTGATGTAGACAGGACATCTGGGTGTCAGGGCAAAATCTTTAAACTACACTCTTGAATTTATAGGAGTCATTCACTCATTTAC